AAAAAAAAAAAGAAAAGAAAAGAAAAAATCAGCCAAGACTTGGAAAAAGAAATAAAAATAAAAAAGGAAACTTCATGCAACCAGTATCTATTGGACACCACTCACCAGATGCTATACTAAGCTGGGGTTAGGTGCTGAGCAAAACCAGGTCCCTCTCTAGATGGCTCTCTAGGTCCCGCGACCATGGCTTTGGTGACACCGGTAGCTGCGCGCTCCACAAGCTGTCAAGAAACACTCAGGAAACAAACATTGAAAATACTCCTTCTGTGGGCCTTTAAGAAAACCGAGTGACTTTTTTCGGTTACTTTCGAATGCTTACAACCCATCCTTGTAAGCATTCGCGGAAACGGCAGTTTTATTACCGCGGGGAAGGGTCCCCTGAGTGCGTGCCCCGTGTGAGTCCCAAGCTGGGCTGGCCATGCCCTGCCAACCCCGCTGCTTGCAGCATCTGCAGGCGCGGGAGGAGGCACCGCTGCCCAGCCGGGGCTTCCCGACTTTGGGGAAATCGAGGTCGCTTTCCCTGGCTCTGCGCAGCGGGGCAACGCTGTCCACTCACTTCCCCGCCCACACGCCCTTGCCCTTTTTCCCCCAGGTAGGGAAGGGTCTACGCGGGTCATAGCGGTAAGGCCATGCCGCCCGTGGTGAAAGCTGGTCCCGGGGAGGGCGCGCCGCCGCTGCCATCTGGCTGCCCGCGCTTCCCACACACCGCCGCGGGCGCAGCGGACTAGCGGAGTAAAGTCAGGAGATCGATCGAGAAGAATCTGGAAGAATCCGGTTAGACAGGGAAACAGCCGGGTGTGGGAGGGAGGAAGGGCCAGGGAAGATCCCCAGAGTCCGAGGATCCCAGGAGAAGGGAAAGGGGGCCGGCAACCAGCAGGAGGCAAGAACCAGGAAAAAAAAAAAAAAAAAAACAACCGAAGCGCCCGCAGCCCGAGCCTGAATGGGATCAGCCCCGCAGTCTCTAGAAAGTTCTGCACCCCGCCCCCTCTGTCCGCTCTCCCGCTCCTCCCAGCCCCTCCCTCGCGGCGGGGCGGGACCAATCGCTCCCCTAGCCGCTCCTGACCCACCTACCCCGCTCCCGCGCCGCGTGCAGAAGTGCTGTAGTCTCTGAGCCGTCCCGCAGTCAGCGCCGCGGCGCCCGGCCTCCCGCACGCCCCGCAGGTAGTACCCCCGCCCGCTGCCCAGAGTGCGCTCGCGCCGGCGCCAGCTCTCGGAGAAACGGCGCGCCGCGCGGAGATGACAGCAGAGGAGATGAAGGCGACCGAGAACGGGGCGCAGTCGGCGCCGCTGCCCATGGAGGGAGTGGACATAAGCCCCAAACAGGACGAAGGCGTGCTGAAGGTGAGGGACGGCGGGGCCTGCGGGGGCGACCGAACCCGGGGCCCGGCGGGCCACCCTTCCGCCAAGCAGGGAGCCCGCGGCCGGGCGCGGGTCCAGGCGGCCGCCTCTGCAACCTTGTGGCGGCTCCGCCGGGGGCCGGTGGCATCGCAGTCCCGGACCGTGCTGCGTCCTTTGGGGCACTGAGGGCGGCCACGCGCTCTGCAGGGGGCGGCCTAGGTGCGCCGACCGAGGCCTCAGGCTCCCTAGCCCGTGGCGCCCGGGCCCGGGCAGGGGGTCGGGATTGCAGCGCCCATCTCGGCGCGCGCCGGGCGGCGGAGAGGGGCGGGGCGGCCGCCGCGGGCGCTCCAGCTGCAGCCAGGGGCCAGGCCGGGCTGCTCCCACTCCGCGCCGCCCCGTGCCCCCCGGGCTGCCTTGTAGGTGGCGGTGCCAGGGCTCGCCCACCCGGGCGGTGGAACACGGGCCAGGACGGGGAGCGACTCCCCACAGTGCTTTCCTGGCCTGGAGGGCTTTGTGCGACACAAGCGCGACAGGGTTCTGGCGCCCTCCTGGGGTCCCCTGCCGACACCGGGACCCTGCGAGGTCCCCACTCGCCGCGCCGCGCCCCCTCCCTCGGCCCCGGGGAGGCCGAGCGCGGGGAATGCCGGGAGCTGTAGTCCCCTCCCTCCCGCCCCCCCGCGCCGCCTCCCGGAGCCCGGCTGCGGGGTGTGGGGTGGGAAGGAGGCGCTCTGCTGTGGAGCCTGCCGCCGAGTGACCGCTCCACTACAAATAGCCTGGGGAGCTGGGTGGAGGGCATCTTGACCTGGGCCAGGACAACCTGCCGTGGGTCGGAGCGGGTTCTAGGGAGAGTCCAGAGATGGTGAACTCCCAGCTCGCATCTTATGCCCTCTCCCCATCCGCTGCTGCTCCTCATCCTGGCTTCCCACCGTTGAGCTCTGCGAGTGCGGCACCCGCCTCAGGGGGCCTTTACCTGGTCCAGAAGTGCATCTGGCTTGGCACCAGATAACTGGGGACCTCGAGTGCCTGATCCAGCGGCTGTCCTGTGGCATGTGGCTTCCCCTTCTCGCTCCAGCGTCCTGCTGTTTTCTATGAGATTGTTATTCTAGGAAGGATCATTTCCCCTTTGATCCGCCATTCCTTCCCTTTTACCTTTCTACTCCTCAAGGCCCTTTCCGTTCTTCGTGGAAGCTTTCCCTTAGAGGGTAACCACACACCGACCAGGTGGCGCTAAAGAAGCCTGTAGTTGCTGGGAAATACTCCAGCCCTGGACTTAATCGGGAATACTTAGCTCCGAAGTCAGAGTTTAAGGCCCCATGGAGAGCCTCCGGGTTCACCTATAACCTGGTTTCTTCCTTACCTGTTTTGAACTGTTTCTTTTCTCTTCGCTTATGCTCCTCTCTTTCTCCTGTCTCCAAACCAGACCCTGATCTGATGACCACTGGCATGAAGGAAGGAGGAGGAAGTATGGCATAAATACTTCCCCATTTGCCGATGATAATAATAATCTATTATTCAACCCTTTACTGGTCTAATCTTCCAACAGCTGTAGGAGATAGGGATCATCATCACTGCTTTACAAATAAGGTGTGGAGAGTTTTAAGAACTTATCCATACACCAGAAACTTGAATTCAGATCTCTCAGTCTTTTGTCTCTTTTTCAAACCAAGTCTTGCTGCACCTCAAGAAAGACAAGGTTAGTTGACTCCTAGGCTAAGCTGCTAGTAACTGAATCTGGAGGGACAAGAAGGCAGAGGAGGATGGACACAGAGAGGTTCCTTTATGTTCCTCTGGAGGCTTGCAGACAGTGTTGGTGCCCCTTTCCACCCCCACCCCTGGGGTACTCACTTTCTCCCCCTTCCTCCCAGGTCATCAAGAGAGAGGGCACAGGTACAGAGATGCCCATGATTGGGGACCGAGTCTTTGTCCACTACACTGGCTGGCTGTTAGATGGCACAAAGTTTGACTCCAGTCTGGATCGCAAGGACAAATTCTCCTTTGACCTGGGAAAAGGTAGGCGTGGTCAGTGGGCTGGCAGGATAGGTTTGAGGTGGACACAAACTGTCACAAGCAGAAACCATTTTCTCAGGACCAGGCTCAGGGAGAAGTGGTTTATCACACTCTGTGACTCTTTCTGCCACTCTTTTTTTCCTTCTACCAATTTTTAACTATATTGATCTATGTCTTCTCTTCTCATCACCTCCCAGCACCTTACTCTGGCTTCAAAGGTGGACTGTCTTGCATCTTAAACTCTTTTTTTCAGGGTCAGGTGATCTTTTAAGAGTTCTGAGACCTAGTAGCACTTAATGCAACCAGGTATCTCACCTTCTGGTCCCATTCCTAAAGGATGTCCAGCTTCCCCATGAGTGTGGTCCAGTAACTCTCCAGGAGCACTGTGTGAGCCCAGAATCAGAACCCTGCTAAGGTGATCCTGTTTGCCTCTATATCTGCAGGGGAGGTCATCAAGGCTTGGGACATTGCCATAGCAACCATGAAAATTGGGGAGGTGTGCCACATCACCTGCAAACCAGAATATGCCTACGGTTCAGCAGGCAGTCCTCCAAAGATCCCCCCCAATGCCACGCTTGTGTTTGAGGTGAGTGTCCAGCCACTGAGATCCAGGCTAAAAGCCAGGCCTTATCTCAGCCCAATGCCTGGCTGCCCTCCAGCCCTTCCTGCTTCTTGGAGACAATGTAGCCAAGGCTGAGGGCCTGGCCTTATGGGAGGAGGAGAAATGAACAGGGCAGCTGGCTCTGCTGCTGCTAGTAATAGAGGTAATGGAAGCTTTGGGTAGGAAGAGGCCAGTGCAAGCCCCTGTCCAGACTCAAAGCATGATCCGGGTTAAGGCTTCTTTATCTCAAGAGTGGTACCCAGAAGAATACTGAAAGGAGTCGGGAGGTCAGAAACTATGTATCCTTATAAATGGCAGTACAGAATATTGGTGCTCCAGAGATCAGAAGAGGGAGCAGTAGCCCTCCCTGTGGCCCAAGGGCTGAGAAAAGCCTTCTCTGAGGAGCTAGAACTTGACATTGTTCAATATGAAAATGGTTGAGCCAATCTGTGGGCACTTGAATGTTGAGAAACTGCTGAGAGATATTGGGTAATCATTCCTAACACCTACCAGATTGGGCTTATCAGGTAGTGTGAATCAGGATTACCTGGAACACGTCCTGATGCGTCCTCATTAGTAGAGCAGGTAGCAAATAGATTGCTCTCCTCAGCTTAACTGAAGCCCATGTAGGCTGCCCACCTCTACCAAAGGTGAGGTTAGGGCAGCTCCCAAGAACTTAGCAAAAGCAACCCTCTACCCGACTCCTCATGACTGCCCTTATGGTCAGATCTGGCCTGGCAGTTAGATCTTTCTCCTGGATGAGAGAAAGGTTGTGTTTCACTGCCCATGAGTTAGTATGGGAAGGAATTGTGTCACATCTTGTCCCACAGGTGGAGTTGTTTGAGTTTAAGGGAGAAGATCTGACGGAAGAGGAAGATGGCGGAATCATCCGCAGAATACGGACTCGCGGTGAAGGCTATGCTAAGCCCAATGAGGGCGCTATTGTGGAGGGTAAGACAGTACAGCCTTGGGTTTCAATTCCAATTTTGATATTTAGGCCTTGGTGGCTTTGGGCAGGTAACTTCCCTTCTCTGAGCCTGTTTTCTTGGCCATAAAATGAGGGGTTGGACCATATTGTCTTTGAGAACACAACTAGGAGAATCTTGGGGTGATGTAGAGAGGCTGATGGCATCCTTCCTCAGTCACCTTCCCTTTTACAACTCTGGTACACTGCCTCTCTTTCATGCCAGTTGCACTGGAAGGGTACTACAAAGACCAGCTCTTTGATCAACGAGAGCTCCGCTTTGAGATTGGTGAGGGGGAGAACCTGGATCTGCCTTATGGTCTGGAGAGGGCCATTCAGCGCATGGAGAAAGGAGAACATTCCATTGTATACCTCAAGCCCAGGTGAGGGGTGGGCACTTCGTAGAGTAGGCAGGCAGGCAAACCAAGATCAAAGATACAAAGTGAGTTATATCTCTCTTTTAGTGAATTAATTTCTCTTTTAATGAATTCTCAGCTGTTTGTATCCTTTTTAACGCTGGGCACACCAAACATAACACTATTAAGATCTCTTCAGTGTACTTGGAAGTGTGGCCACAGTTGTCTACATCTCCTTGGATCTAAGCCCAGTCTTATCAGTCATAATTGCTACAGATTCTCTCCTCTGCCATCAAGATTTTCCTCTCATTCATTCATTCATTCATTCAGTCATTACTGAAACATACCTACTACATGCCAGACACTACTGAAAATTCCTAGGGGTGCAGAGACTGATAGAACATCGTTTCTACATTCTAATTCTAGTTCTTTGTTTAGTGAGGTGTCATTTAAGTTAGTAATCACACTGCTGCCTGGCTGTAGAAGGGTATGAAGGATGCTGAGGGACCATCTGATTGTGTGAAGAGGCCAAAGACGATTTGCCAAACATTTGAACCAAGTCTCAAGGGATGGGAAGGTACTTTCCAGGAAATGGACAGGAAGCCTTTTCAGCCTGGAGCAGCTTAAGTGTTGCCAAGATGACACAAAGTATTTTTCACCCCTACAGCTATGCTTTTGGCAGAGCTGGGAAGGAAAAGTTCCAGATCCCACCAGATGCTGAGCTGAAATATGAGTTACACCTCAAGAGTTTTGAAAAGGTAAGTTTGTTCAAGGTCTTCCCATCTGAAGTCAAGTTCTATCCTCTTGGTGACTCTGGGGTAACTGACAACTTTGTTTCTCCTCTGGGGTGTGGCAGGCCAAGGAGTCTTGGGAAATGAATCCAGAAGAGAAGCTAGAACAGAGCACCATAGTGAAAGAGCGGGGCACTGTGTACTTCAAGGTGAGCCAACAGTCACTGTTCTAAGGACACTCCTAGGGAGAGTTGCTCTGAGGCCACTCCTCCCTTGGTGACTAAGATCATTTTCTGACAAGAAGTGGACAGGTTGGCACCTGCCATCTTCACCTAGTATATCTTGAGTTTGCCGGCCTTGCCAGCGGGAGGGGTTGGGGCAGAAGCCTCTTGTGGCCGTGTGTCACTGATGTCTGCAGGGTGTAACAGCCTGGTATCACTGAACCTATGCCAGGTGCCTGAGCCTCTCTCCCATTCTAGGAAGGCAAATACAAGCAAGCTTTACTACAGTATAAGAAGATTGTGTCCTGGCTGGAGTATGAATCTAGTTTTTCCAGTGAGGAAGCACTGAAGGCACAGGCCCTTCGACTGGCCTCTCACCTCAATCTGGCCATGTGTCATCTGAAACTACAGGCCTTCTCTGCTGCCATTGGAAGCTGTAACAAGGTGAGGTCCCCTCAGAGGGCATGGAGGCAACATTGACATGCAGGGTTGGGTGGGCTGCCAGCATGTCTGAAACTTCCCCTTGGTGACTAGGGCAGGGATAGTGGGGTGGATTCAGTAGGACCTCAGAGATCTCCGGCCAAAGGCATGGATGTTAGCTGTAGTGGTGGGACGCCGTTGGCGCAGAAGTAGGAGAACACATGGAATGGGAAGAACCACATAAGGGTTTTCTCCCACCTTTGTTCTTAGCCTCTTCTCTTAACCTACTTGCTTTATTCTGAAGTGAAAGTTAATGTCTAAAGTCTTTTTATTTCGTCCAAAGACCTGCTGTCCTCCCTTTCTGCCAGTTGGAGGAAATGAGGTTCCTTCCTAGACCTTGTATTGTTCCATTTAATGCCCCAGGCCTTGTTCTTCCTGGGGTGGAGCCAGCCATTTGCATTCCTCCTCATTCTGCGGAGGGGTACCTTTGGAACCCAGCCTTGGCCAGGTGAGCTACAACTCCTGAGCTCCAATGGTGTTGCTTCCTCTCTGCATTCTTTAGGCCCTAGAACTGGACAGCAACAACGAGAAGGGCCTTTTCCGCCGGGGAGAGGCCCACCTGGCCGTGAATGACTTTGACCTGGCACGGGCTGACTTCCAGAAGGTCCTGCAGCTCTACCCCAACAACAAAGCTGCCAAGGCCCAGTTGGCTATGTGCCAACAGCGGATCCGCAGGCAGCTTGCCCGGGAGAAAAAGCTCTATGCCAACATGTTTGAAAGGCTGGCTGAGGAGGAGAGCAAGGTGAGGACTGGAGTAGGGGACAGTTGGGACAGCATCCCTCCACTTAACCTGGCCACTTTGGGCTCTTCATGCCTTTGGTTGTCTGTGCCAATCCCGGAAACCAGAAGTTGCCCTTTGCCTGGAGCATTAAGGAGCATGTGTTCCCTGCTCCTGGGGCCAGTGTTCTGTGATCAGTGCTGGAAGCCTAACCACAAGCCCCAGAAGCTGGGTTGGTTGCTCTGATTTATGTTTTCTTGAGGGCCAGGCGCGGTGGCTCACACCTGACCTGCAATCCCAGCACTTTGCAGGGCCAAAGTGGGAGGATTACTTGAACCCAGTAGGTAGAGACCTCGGTGACTTACAATGGCACCACTGCACTCCAGCCTGAGTGACAAAATGAAACCCTGTCTCAAAAGAAAAAAAGAGCTAGATGTTTTGTGTGTGTGTTTAAGTAGATAATATATTTACATAGTTAAATTCAAATTGTACCAAAGAATATACGGTAAAAAGTCTGCCTCCCCAACCAGAAGCCACTGACCCTTCTGGTTCTTGTATGGTTCTAATGTATTGCTTAATACACAGGCAGATATTCATGTTGCTTTCTCCCTTTCCCCTAACAAGAGGCAACATGCTCTACCTATGATTTGGCATGCTGTGCTTTTTTTCTCATAATATCTGGAGGCGCAGGGCGCGGTGGCTCACGCCTGTAATCCCAGCACTTTGGGAGGCTGAGGTTAGGAGTTTGAGGCCAGTCTGACCAATATAGTGAAACCCCGTATTGAAAAAACAAAAATAAATATTTGGAAGCTTATTTTATATCAGTATTTCAAGAGCTTTCACATTCTTTATTCCATTGTATGGATATGGCATATGAGTCCCCTTTTAGTCTTCCAGTGTTCTTTTTTTTTTTTTTTTTTTTTGAGACAGAGTTTTGCTGTGTCACCCAGGCTGGAGGGCAGTGACGCGATCTCAGGTCACTGCAGATTCTGCCTCCCGAGTTCAGGCAATTCTCCTGCCTCAGCCTCCTGAGTAACTGGGATTACAGGCGCGTGCCAGCTAATTTTTGTATTTTTAGTAGAGAAGAGGTTTCACCATGTTGACAAGGCTGGTCTCGAACTCCTGACTTTAGTGATCTGCCTGGCCCTGCCTCCCAAAGTGGTGGGATTACAGGTGTGAACCACCATGCCTGGGCAGTCTTTTTGTTTGTTTCTTTGAGACACAGTCTCCCTCTGTCGCCAGGCTGGAGTGCAGTGCTGGCATCCCAGCTCACTGCAACTTCCGTTTTCCGGTTTCAAGCGATTCTCCTGCATCATGCCTCCCGAGTAGCTGGGACTACAGGCACACACCACCATGCCCGGCTAATTTTTTTTTTGCATTTTTAGTAGACACGGGTTTCACCATGTTGGCCAGGATGGTCTCAATCTTTTGACCTTGTGATCCACCCGCCTTTGCCTTGCAAAGTGCTGGGATTACAGGCGTGAGCCGTCGCACCCAGCCACCCGGACAGTCTTAAACCGTCTGCTAAACAGGCACTGTACAGTAGAAACACAGTATTAACCACATGTAATTGAAAATTTTCTGGTAACCATGTTAAAAGGTGAAAAACAGATGGAATTAAGTTTTAGTTGCATTTATGTATTTTTCAGACCGTCTTCAAAATCCAATATGTATTTTGCACTAAAAACACATGAATTTGAACTAGCCACTTATAGTAGTGGCTACCACACGGGGCAGTGCTGTTCTAAACAGCACTGTAATGAATGACCTTGTGAGTTCATAATTTGTACATACTCAAGTGTTTTGTGTTTTTTTGAGACAGTGTCTCTCGCTCTGTCGCCCAGGCTGGAGTGCAGTGGCACCATCGGCTTACTGCAACCTCTGCCTCCCTGGCTCAAGTGATCCTCTTGCCTCAGCCTCCCAAGTAGCTGGGACTACAGGTGCACACCACTATGCCCAGCTAATTTTTGTAATTTTTTGTCGAGATGAGGTTTCACCATGTTGTCCAGGCTGGTCTCAAACTTCTGGGCTCAAGTAATCTGTCCACCTCACCTTCCCAAAGTGCTGGGCTTACAGGTGCAAGCCACCACGCCTGGCTTATACAGGTATATCTTTAGGGCAGATGCAGGAGAATTGGTGTGTCTGTGTAATTCTGCTAGAAATGAAGTGTATTTTTTCACTTGGGAAGTCAGGCTCTTTGCTGTTCCTCTTCCTTCCAGGCCAAGGCAGAGGCTTCCCCAGGAGACCATCCCTCTGACACAGAGATGAAGGAGGAGCAGAAGAGCAACATGGCAGGGAGCCAGTCTCAGGTGGAGACAGAAGCATAGCCCCCCTCCACCAGCTCTACTCCTGCGGCTGCCTGCCCCCGCCCCCAAGTCTCCCCACTCCACCCTGTTAGTTTTGTAAAAACTGAAGAATTTTGAGTGAATTAGACCTTTATTTTTCTATCTGGTTGGATGGTGGCTTTAGCGGGGAGGGGGGAAAGAAGTAGGCTGGGGGATTGAGGTGGGGAATCATTTCAGGGGGTGTCACCCCCTCTTCCCTTCCCCCATTGCACATGAACGTATGTCCATCCATACATATTCATCAGAATGTTAATTTATTTTGCTCCCTCTGTTAGGTCCATTTTCCAAGGGTAGAAGAAGCAAGTGGTAGGGATGGGGTCTGATATGAACCCAGGGTGGAGAGGGAGACTCCTGGGCAGCCGTTTTCCTCATCCTTTCCCTCTCCCAGTCCGTTTCCAAACGTGGCCTCCATGTGGGTGCTAGGGACATGGGAAAAACCACTGCTGTGCCCATTTCTTCTCTCTGTTCCCTTCCTCGCCCTGACGGTGTGGCTGATGATGTCTTCTGGAGTCATGGCGACCACCCGCTGTCCCCCATTCTGGTGTTTCCCCTGTCAGTTTCCCCTCTCAACCAGGTTGTATCCTGAAATCCCCTCAGCCTCTTCTCTGCACGTTGCTGAAGGTCCAGGCTTGCCTCAAGTTCTGTGCTTGAGCAATAAAGTGGAAACAATAAAACTTGGGTGTCAGGCAACCCTTTCTGTTCAGTCTTGGCGGGGTGGGTACACAGTGGGTAGTGACAAAATTAAGGGGTCACCCACTTGGTCCCAGTTCAGCTTAAATAAGTGCAGTACCTCATATAATGATGCCATAGTTGGTCAGGAAGCAGACACACCATGCAGGGCTTCCTGAGCACTGCACAGGCTGCAGTGAGACTTAGGCCTTCACCCTTACCCTAGGTTCCCAGCACTCCCTCCCTCCAGCAACCTGGTAGTTTTTAGTGCCTCTGGTTTTCTTCCCTGCCACTTAGGAAGAGGAAAGTCTAAACATCTAGAAGACTGGGTCACATGCATGTTTGTTTTGAAGTTAGCATTGGTCTTCTGCCTACCTCTGATGTGGCAGAAGTATCTTTGTGCATTCTGGTTTCTTAACAAGGTAAAACTCCTGGTGTCACTAACCTCCTCCTGTCAGATACCCTTTACATGATTAAGGTTAAGAGTAAAGAACAGTGGACATGCCCAGCTTCCTTCTCGGCCTCAGCAGGAAAAGGCTTGTGCTTTTTTTCTAAGTATGCTTTTACCCTTAACTTGTATGGCATGGTGGGGCCCTGAGAGAAGCCAGGCAGCACAAGCCAGTCATGTTGAGCTGCCTCCAGATGATCCTGGCCCCAGGCCACAGCCCATGTCTGCCCTCACCCCTCTCCTCCCCTACTGCGAGCTCTCCAGTCCTTTCCTAACAGTGATGTGGTTGTCTGCTTATCCACATGCCTGTATAGTTCCTTCCAGAAGAAATGTATCTATAATGATGGAAGATTAATTTCTGTGTGAAAGTTTTTCACCAAGCCATTACAGCATGGCTGATGCTGAAGCTAGGACTAAAATTGGGGTTTGCAAGTCTTCCAGAGTGAGTATCCCTTGAGCCCAAGGCACCAAGGGTGCAGAAAGCTGTGACTGCCATTGCATGCCAGCATGGGCAAGAGAGCGAGACCGTGTCTCTTTAAAAAAAAAAAAAAAAGTCCTACTATAACTGCTGTCTTACTGGGCTTACCTCACGTCACAGCCCTGTATTTGTGGTTTGTGTCTGGGTCCTCTTGGTATTTCAAAAGTAGTAGATTCTTACCCCTGCAGCCAACAATAATCACTAACTCATTAAGCATTTATGAAGTAAGCCTAGCACTTGTACTGACAGCATCACGAGTTAAACTTAGTCCCTGCAACCATCCTACAAAGGAGGTATAACCCTAATAACCCCATTTACAGATAAGAAATCCAAGACTCAAATGGAAAGGTATGCCTGAAAGGTGAGGTCTCTGAACTAATCCAGATGCTGCCATGAGGTTCATGTGGCTGTGGCCAAGTCTTGAGCCTCTTTCCTCATCTGCACAACTTGAAAGCATTCCTAAGGTTTCCTCCAGCTCTGCATCCTGTAGGATTCCAAGAATGTAAAACTGCATTTAACTGGAACATTTGGAGATAAGTCTTGGTTTATGTAACGTTAAAACTGTCGAGTGAGGATGTTTTGTTAAAATGCCTACAAGCCTGTAAGCCTAAAAATAATCTCAGCCACATACTCAAGTACGCCCTGGGTCAGTGCTTCAAGTTCATTCCCCAGTCACTTGTCCCTTCCTACCAACACTTAAATCTTTCTGTATGCAGAGAATGTGCCTGAATAAAGAAAAGCTAGTAGCAAGCAGTACTGTGAGCTGTTAAGCCTTGCAAGTGGTCTCTAGAAAAAAACAATTGTCCTAGTGCTGGTTCTAACATGGAGTTCTGTGAATTTTATCTCCTAAGTATTTCTACTTCCTCCAGGTGCTGGTACCAATCCCTCTCATCACCATGCTGTCCTGCAAAAGCCTCCTATCTTGGATTCCCTCCTGCCCCACCTGCAGTTCACTCTGCACTGTATCCAAATCGTGTCGCTCTGAGTACTTAAATCACTTTCAATGGTTTCCCATCCCATTTAGGCTAAAGTTCAGAATCTTTATCATGGCTCACAAAACCCTACAAGGCTTGGCAAAGTGCACTTTGACACTTGCCCTCACTCTATACCAGCTACGCCGCCCTGAGGGTGAATGGAGAACTGTATCCCATTTCAATTGGAGGAAAAATACGTGAAAGACACTATGAAGGATTAGGAAATTATCTTTTTAGAAAATGTTACTGGAAAAAAAGAACCCGGCCAGGCACGGTGACTCTCACTTGTAATCCCAGCACTTTGGGAGGCTGAGGCTGGCGGATCACAAGGTCAGGAGTTCGAGACCAGCCTGGCCAACATGGTGAACCTCCATCTTTACTAAAAATACAAAAATTAGCCAGGCATGGTGGTGGGCACCTGTAATCCTATCTACTTGGGAGGCTGAGGCAGGAGAATTGCTTGAACCCGGGAGGCAGAGGCTGCAGTGAGCTGAGATCATGCCACTGCACTCCAGCCTGGGTGACAACAGAGTGAGACTCTGTTTCAAAAAAAGAAACCAGAGCCTCTCATGCCTTATTCCTGTTATGTCTCAGTGAATAATTTTCCCTTTCCAAATGCATAACAACTCAGAACCTTATAACTCTTAAGTTGAAATGACAATGGACTAAGGGCAATGCAGAATAAAACCAATGTAAGAGTATAGACATTGTAAGTAAGGAAAATTGGTTCTTTCTGGAATTCATTATTGCTGCCTTATGGCTGCAGTTCCCCAGTTGTTTGCCAACCTCAGATAATGTGGATGCATTATTCCCAGTTAGAAAATCTGGGAATCATAAAAACACTAATTTATACTGTACCGAATGACACTATACCAATTCTTTAAAATTTAATTTTTCTTTTGGAGACAGTCTTGCTCTGTCGCCTAGGCTGGTGTGCAGTGACACAATCTCAGCTTGCAACTTCCACAACCCTGGTTCAAGCAATTCTGTCTCAGCCTCCTGAGTTACTGGGACTATAGGCACACACTACCACAACCGGCTCATTTTTGCATTTTTAGTAGAGTTGGGGTTTCACCATATTGATCAGGCTGGTCTTGAACTCCTGACCTCCAGTGATCCACCCGCCTCGGCCTCCCAAAGTGCTGGGATTACGGGCATGAGTCACTGTGCCCGGCCTATTTTTTATTTCTTTTTCTTTTTTTTTAAACAGGCCTCTCTCTTGCCCAGGCTCAGTGCAGTGGTGCAATCACAGCTGACTGCAGCTTTGACTCCCTGGGCTCACGAGATCCTCCCAACTCAGCCTCCAGAGTAGCTGGGACTATAGGCACACAGCACCATGCCCAGCTAAATTTTTGTTTGTTTGTTTTGACAGCGTATAGTTGTTGTCACTCAGGATGGAGTGCAATGGCGCAATCTAATTTTTGTATTTTTAGTAGAGATGGTGTTTCACCATATTGATCAGGCTGGTCTTGAACTCCTGACCTCAGGTGATCTGCCTGCCTCAGCCTACCAAAGTGTTGGGATTACAGGCGTGAGCCACTGCGCCCAGCCACACTACACCAATTTGAGAGGCAAAGTAAGAGTGAATGGTCTCAGTGATGATCAAGAAAAAGCAATACCTTTGTGAATGTCTAGGGTCCTTTGGCTAGAAGAAAGGATCAGCCATATCCTGTCTTCCCACCAGACATGCATTTTCCACAGGATCTTCAGTCTCCTGTTTCACTCTTAAACGTGCCTCAGACATAAAATGATTTGTATTTTTTTAGGTGAAATTCACATTTTTAGGTGAAATGAAGTTAACCATGTTAAATTCAACCGTTTGGTGGCATTTAGTCTTTACAGTGTTACCTAGTTCCAAAACATCTTCCCCATTCTTTATGTTTTAAGCCTCTTTCCTAATGTTTAAGTGACAGAGTGACAGTGAACTTCTCATCCATCAGTAGTCTCGAGCAGACCACCCTGACGAGTTAGTTTTAGGATCAAAGCTTCCCAGAGTTGGTGGTGCTTTTTAATAGGGCCAAACGTGAGTAAGGGAGTGAGACTAAGTGGAGCTTTGAATAACAGCATTTCACTCAGCACAGAGCTGCCCCACACTACTCTGCCCAGTTTCTAGGTCAAGAAACGTAACTTTTCCAACATTTTAATATGCTAAGGTGTACCATGAATGAGAGAGGGGAGGGGGAAGAGGTGATATAAGCCAAACCGAGTCCATTAAGAAGCCCTGGGCCCTGCCCCCAGGGTGGTGAGGCTCTGAGCCTCATGTTTTGAAAGATCTTCGGAGACTCTGTCTCTTACCTGGGCACCCTGGGCAAACAACTTGGATAAGACCGCTCTGTCTACTGTTGGAGGATGAAGTGGACAAAATCTTCCTAGAAATGCTTCCCACTTAATCCCCTCATCTCCTCCTACGGAGATTTCTATTGTTTGTAAAGAATATGCCACCCACACAACTGTATCCATGTCACCTAACTAGGAAGATAACCCAACTGGACAGTTCTGGGAAGTAAGACAAAAACCAGCTGAAAGAGTGCTTTGCTTAGACAAGATGGAATTTAGATGGTGCCCAAAAAGACCTAGCAACCATCCAACTAGAAAGGGGCCAAAAACAGGGGTGCTCTTTGTGGAGCCAGGGATCTGTCCATATGGTTCTGCAATGCCTAGTCATACAAAACACTCACTGCACTTAAAGTAACTGACACAAGGTGAGGAGAGGCACAGGCATGGAAGGACTCGACTTATCCCTATTTCTTGGATACCTATCTTTCCTCCTTTTCTAACTTTATTTGGCTCTCTTGACAAAAGCCAAAAAGCATGGTATAGAAGTTGTGATCATAATTACATGATTTTCATGGCAAACATACTCTACAATTAAAAACAGACACCCCCTGTCGCAGAAATATCCAGACCAAGATACCCAAATGATGAGGAAGATAAAACTAAGGTCATTGGGGAATGCTGGGTCGGGGGCTGATCTCAGATAACTGGTTAGGCCAAGGCACTTGATGACAGAAGCTAGGTCATCTCATCTCTTGTTCTGAGTTATTTAGTAATATATTTCTTTTAAAACCACTTAACAGGGCTGGGCACAGTGGCTCACACCTATAATCTCAG